GATTGTTACAGCTTCCCACCATGAAGCTTGGTTGACGACAGGAGAAATTCTGGTTCACTTTACCCATGTCTTCCCCAACGTTAACCTTTATAGCCCACAAAATGGAAAGGTTTGCCATTTATGTTGAAAATTAATATCTTCCATTTGATTTTTCCCCTTTAAAGTTAGCCCAGAAATGGAGTATGAGTGGTGGTGGTTGAAGACGAAAGGAGGAAGTGTAGATGATTGCAGTGGATCTGGTGCAGATCGACCCTATTAAACCACCAGGGATTGTGTCTGTCAATCTTAAATGTGAACTTATTGCACTTTTGATTTCAACCTTGGAGCTCTGGTCAAAAAAAAATCCTATAATTTTAATTTTTATAGTTCAATAGACAGGAGTGTTCTTGCAGGTGATGTCTAAATCACAGCAAACTCTTACCCATAGGCCAAATCTTGACAACTGCTTTTATAGATATTTTTTACTAGTACATATCTAGTGTCTATGGTTCATTGTCTATATTTGTTTTGGGGCTGCAACAAGATTGAATTGGAGAGATAGTCTATGATGTGCAAGGATAATATGTTTATTACCAGAACCTCTGTAGAAAATTTTTGTTGACCACTGATCTAAATACTTTCTGTGTGTACATCTCTCAGTTGGCAAATATAATTATCATTTTCACAATAAAATCCAATATTAAATGTAGGTGTGCATATGTCTTAGGTTTGTAAATTTGTGGATAATTTCCACAGAAATCACCTATATTGTGCAGCGAGTAGTATAAAATGAAAGAAACAATATAAAATCAGTGAAGGGAACTTAGTGTATAGACAAGTAGCTAATAATATGATGAAAAGAATAAACTTACTTAAAAGAAATATCAATCATTTCATAAGATAAATATTAAGAATTCGATTTAAATTCTAATTGAGTTTTGACATCTGTGTGGAAATTTGATGGACACTTGAGATATTTTAAGGTCCAAAAATTCATAGAATAACACATATTACTAATAAGGATCTACACAACAATTTCAAACCGCATGCACAACAGCAATATGGTTGATGTGTGCTTATTTTAAAAAGCATAAAGATGATCTTTGCTCAGAAAAATTACTCTTTTAAAGGCAATCAGTCATTATTATGATGAAAATTGACCAATCTCAAATATGAAACCCATATTCAAAGATTTAAAATGAAGTTATCGCTCTCCCTCATCAAGGAAACAGACTAAATTCAATAGCTTGTAAGATAATACTATGATGTATATCTAAATGACAACATTAGTCACATAGGAGACACATTAAGAATCCAAACAGAGTATAACAGTGAATATTCAGTGCTGTTTTTATGATGATTTAAGTGGAAAGTTGTACATTGGATAATAAAGAACATGAACCTTCTTGATCTGAGACTTTGAAATCTCTGTTAAAAGCCAAGAACACAGATCTATTTTAAAGGATTTATTTATGAATTTTCAATGAAGTTTAGATCTACACCTAGAATCTGTTGATCATGTGTTGATCCTGCCCTTTCACAGTGTATTTCGAGTACTCATGCCACCGATCCCCTCATTCTTGCCATATTGTGCCAGAGATCCTATATCTGTTACGATTTATTTTCTACTCAAATTCTTCAGATTGTCCCTCCATTTAGAATTGTATTTTGTTATGATGTCAAGACTCAATGGAAAAAACCTAGTTACTGAGGGTCTGACATCTGCAATAGCAAATTATGATCTGTGTCCTCAAAGCCTGATAATATTTGGTGTATTAAATTGGCACTCAATAATTGCTTAAAAAATGAAGAATATTAGTCCAGATATGGCTTATGGATGGTTATAATCTTGGTTTTTGCTACTAGTTGCTGTGGCAATTGCTCTAGTCACCCTTGGTTAAATAGTGCAAACCATTTTCTGCCATGTGAAGAAGGCTGATTTGTGTTTAGGGGTTCACTCAGGTAGCAGCTTCTAAGGACCTCCGAACCAGGCCTATCCTATTGTAGTCTATCCAAGTGTGTGAGCCCATTCTAACTTCAGTTCTCTCCTTGTCTTCTGTGCCATGTTTCCATGGCAGCCATTATGCCCTGAAGCTTTTTTCCTAAAATGTAACCTATTACACCTGACATGGTCTTCAATATTTTATAAGATGGATCTAAAAATGAAATATACGTTGCACATTGTAGTGAAAGAGAAGAGCCAGGTATGTACAAACTTGTGTGTGAGTTCTGACTGTGTAACTGTCAACAAGTTGCATAATTTCTGTGAGGTTTGCTTTTTTCATGTGTGAAGTAAAATATTGAGAACTCATGTTTTGTTTTGTTTTTTTTTGTAGTCTGAATGGAAAGTTAAAGCCTTAATTGCAGTACATTGGCAATTGTACATATTCAATAAATTCAGTTCCCTCCCTGCTTTCTTGGAAAATCAGTCTAGGAAGCCAATTGCATTGTATAGACATTTTCCATTTTCAGAATTCCAGAAAGAAACAAAGAAAGAGTTCATATTTTTAGAGGATATTTTTTCTAATGTGATGGGAAATTTTTCTAAGATGTGAAATGTAAAGTGAATATTTAATGTACATTAATCTTTTTTGAAGTCTCATCTCTTGGATTTAAGATTATAAGAGGCAAAGCCACAGGTTAGTAAAGATCATTGTAACTGCAGGACGGGAAATGTGACAACTACAAGCATGGTACTTCTGGTTAACTTTACCTGGAAGATATTTGAAAGATTTCTTCAGATTCTTGGCAGCATTTAACAGAACCCAGCACCATTAAACTAGCAAGAATCATTTAGAAGGTGTTGAAAAAGTCACAGCACTTTTTGAAGATTAAAGAGTCAG